ATTTGTGGCTGGTTAGAAATAACCTCCCCTAATAAGGTCTCTATTATTGAAAGAGAACTAAGGGGTGAGAGACGTGGGATTGAGCGTTATTTTAGAGATTAATGGGGAAGTTGAGGCAGTAATAGAGGGAAGGTGTATTATGTTAAGGGGTTAGTTGAGAAATTTGAGAGCAGTGTGGTGAGACTTTTGTGAGGCTCAATGGAGCTATAAAGAAATTAAGGTGTGAGGAACTTTTATATGGTATTAGAAAAATAATTATCTATAATCTTAGTTTTGTTCAATGATAACTAAATTAGACTCTTATCTTATAGTTCATGAGATCGAATCCCCCTACAAAATTTTTTTTTTTTAAACATACATCAACAATCTAGTGTGCATATTCATTAGCAAAAATGGTGTAGGATATTTAAAATCGCATGAACACTACAAATTCACTAGAGAATTATAGACATGTTCCTAAACAAATTTGGAGGGATAATACTCCAACTACATGTTATTTGATCAATAGTATTCCCTCTATGGTTTTGGTCAACAAATTCCATACTTCGTTTTGTAATCACTAATTTCATCTGCCCACAAATTTTGTTTGATGTGTGTTTTGCCCATAACAATGTCTTCCTTAATATTCTTACAATCAAAACGAATAAAAGTATTGTTGTCTCTCTTTAGATTGGTTCACGATTTTTGCATATATTAGATTCTTCAAGTCCTAGCTTGCCTTACCAGTGAGTCTCCTACCCCATACTCTGACAGTGACGGGATATTTCGTGATCCAAGAAGAACAAGTTCACAGTCACTACCGGCCGATATATCCTTTCCTAAGGCTTACAACAAAAATGAGTCAATATACCATGAATTTTTCGATATATCAAGTGACATTGTTCCCTTTGTTCCAAAACAATCGCTGAAATGTTGCAATACTGATTTGGACTTTTATTTACTTTAGGATTTTTCCTAGAAACCACCTTAGAAATAGTGTATCATACGGAAACCATCTTTTATTTTTAATTTATATATAAACCATCTTTAAAGTGAGTTTTTATTGCAATCAACCACCTCCCAATAAATTTTTCCATAAAAACTCAAAATTGTACTTAAAAACGTTTTTATTGCAATCAACCACCTCCCAATAAATTTTTCCATAAAAACTCAAAATTGTACTTAAAAACTCACATTCAAGGCATGTGGCCAATTTTTAAATGTTTAGGTCCTGTTAGGATACAAATCATGTACCTTGAACTTGAAATTTTTAAGCTTATTATTAGTTTTTTAGTAAAATTTTGACTTAGGAGTTGTTGAACGCAGCAAAACATATTTTATAGGTGATTTATGTCTAGTTGAAATTGAAAGGAAGTTTCTGTGTAATTATCCTATTTTTGAGGTGGTTTCTACAAAAAAAACTTTAGTTTAAAAGTTATGATTCAATTGATGTCTAAACCCAAATAAATATCCGATTCTATAAATAACCATGAAGTAGAATTAAAGGTCAATTAGACCAAATTCTTATCAAAAGTTTTGCAAATGATGTCATCTTTTTTCCAGAACTCTATCTTTGATGCACCGAGTATTAACTATTAACATCTATGACAAGCGGAGCTAGAAATTTTATAATGGGGAGCCAAGAATCCAAGATACATAAGTCCCTAGTATTTATCGAAGAAAAAAGAACACTAATATCAAAATTGTATGTTCTTCATTTAAAGATAATCAATTAATTAAAACATATAAGGTTACGTTTACAACGCACAAACCCTAGGATCTATCTCATAGACAATCTCCAATATCTATGAATAAACTGACATTGTACACTTAATAGGATCGTTGTGGATAAACTAACATCGTACCTTTATCAGGATCATCATCCTAATGAAGTTGTCATGTGAATTCGCAAAATACAAGTTCTCTATCACTCGTAACATCTCTTTTTATTTCTATGTCAAAGGAATATGTAGGGTGTTTAGGGCCTCTATTAGCTCATGGTTCTCTTGTAAAAAATTAATTGAATAAGATCAAAGCTTATTGCAATTTTGGCTCTTTAAAAAGTGCAAGTACAACCTAACATCTTTGACAAAGTAAGGCCCAATCCATAAGATACTTAGATTTCTCTATGGCAAAGTTGCAGGCTACAAGAGCCTAATATATATACTAGTATGTCAAGAAAAAATTTGGGGGGTGGGGCAAGGCACCCCAACGCAATGTGTAGCTCTGCCCTTAATGCGTGATATGTATGTGAACGGTATCTGATGAAATTCTAATATTTTTAAATATCTCTAATATGTCTCCGATATTTACCATCTAATATGGAAGTTTGTTAGTCCAACAAATCATGATATCCGATATTTAAAATATTGTTCACAATGCTACATTAGCAAGTGATACAGTCTTGGATATGTTGCCACTTAAATATAACTCAATTAGAGCTATACATGACGCACCCCTCACTGCTATTGCTCAACATCAACTTTTGCTCAAATTCATTTTTCCCGATCTAGGAAGAATACATTTGCACTAACCCCTAGTAGTACTATTACTATCTCTCATGATGATCTTCTAATTGCTATTCGCAGAGGTAAATACCCTTGCATCTGGTCCTTCCTTTCCTTCCACCACACTAACAATCTAATAGATGATATAATATCGCTTGTACAATACGCAGAAATTGCTAATATTACACCTAGTTCTCCCCTCTTTTTTGTTCTTAATATTCCATTGCTTGCTTTCAACTTATTAGTTAGTAAGATTACTAGGGTTAACATTCTTTCTTAGACATTGTGTATGTGAGGAAATTGGGATAAGGAGAATGATTAACACATTTGAAAGTGGCAAGTTGTACAAGTTATTTTTAGTATCCAAACTAGTGGCACGTTCTATTTTTTATCGACTGTTGACTACCATTGTCAATTGGGACACTCATCTCTGCTAGTTCTTAAACTTTAAGTTCTTGCATTGAGTCGTGTCGAGTCTATATATTTGTAAGCCTTGACGACTAAAAAAGCATCGTCATAAGTCTTATTCTAGTAGAGTTAATAAATGGGCTTACAACATACTTACTTTAGAGCACTCAGATGTATAGAGTCTATGTCCAATAAACTCAGAACTTGGTTTGCAATCCTTTGCGAGCTTTGAGAATGATTTCTCTCGAATTTGGATTTATCTTATGAAACATTACTCAAATACCATATTGAGGTGATTATAGAGATAGATTAGCTCTCATTTTTATTCTTATTTATAATACAACATTAATACAACTCTAAACACATAAACAACGTGTGACTGAACTAAACCACCTTATTAAAGGCGACTCCTCTCTAACAAAGACTGACAATGTCGAGTAGGAATTCAACATGTGAAATGAAGAAAAGTGAGAATAAGTCTATTATAATAATGTGATTCATTTGAAAATATCATGTCTAACCAGGATAAATCACGTAGAGCTGAAATTCAACGAATAACAACAACAATCTTGAAGTCAATCTCAGAATATGCTATATCGCTATCCAAGCCCAAAAAGTTTAATTTTTAACATTATTATTAAGATCTAAAATATTGAGGTCAAACTTATCTTGTCTTTCTTAGCATCTTTGATACCTAACACTGCTACTGAGGTGCCATACCCGTGTCCAACACATATTGGGCACGGGTACGTAGCCAAAACATCACGGTCACGAGAACATTATTTTTTCTTCCAGAATCTTGAGGGGTTCTGCGATTGAAGAGGGAGGAAGATGACTCTTTTTCTCTCATTTTCTTAATATTTATTGGTTAGTGGAGGATGACATAAGCATTCACATGGGATTATTTAAACAATTGTTTTTGTCTTTCTTAAAAAAATGTAGTGATAAGCATGGGAGCACATTGCTCATCATAAGTATAATAAAAATTCTAAGTTTAGTTTTTTTATTCATTTGTGGAATATAAAGGTATAGTTTTCAAATGGGTTTGTTTTATTGAGAAACTGACATTAAATGTAGTCAGATGATGTAGTTAACATAATTGTTGGTCTTTATAACATTAATAATATATATACATGATTGTTTTTTTCAGCCGTGTCCCCGTACCCTACATTTTACAAATTTTCTGTGTCTTGTATCCATACCCATGCAACCAAGCTTAGCATTAAGCCTAGAACAAACCTATAGTTTGCCTATATAACATATAGCTTAAAGTTTAATAAGCTTGCGAGCTATTAACAATCACCATCAAGCTATTCATAAACGGTTATCTGAAATCTAGACCCCAAAATGAGGAGTCAACCACCCTTGTTGAATAATTTCATTGTTAGATTTTCAGCATATAAAAACCATGTTTTTGCTTGGTCACACCTGCTCGCTCCTTTCTCCCAACTTGTTCCTTTACAGTAGCTATCAACTATGTAAGCTCAGTTCTGTAAGAAATGTTCCAGTAGACCAAACTAACATTTATTTCATATGCGTATGTCAATCGCTATATTGGGGAAGTGACTTCACACATTAGAGGATGGCCAACTGCTTTCTAGCAAGTACAAATGTATGTATAGATCCATGAAGGCATGCACAATTGATAAATGAAGAATCTTTAAGCTTTCATTCACTCTCATGAATATTAACCCTAATAAGAACCATTCATGTATAGACCACATAAATCAAATCCACTATTTCAGATGGATTGCAAGCAAGAAGTAGCTGCATTCCGAAATGGATCACCAAATCCAAACATTCTTCCGGGAATTATGAACTACAATAACAAACCAGAATCAAGTAGCTGGTGCAATCTCCCCCACTGCTTTCTAGCGTGAACAGATAGATGTTCAGATCCATGACCAACTGATAAATGAAGAGTCTTGTAATTTTCATTCACACTCATATAAACCATAAAAAATCAAAGTTTCAACCCTGAACCTCCACTAGTCCAGCTGAACTCCAAAACGAATCACCAAATTCAATGAGTTGAGGGCGTAATTTCAGAACAAAACTAAAGATTTAAGGGACCAAATGAATCCAAAAAAAAATTCTGAGAAGTACCTTTATTGAGCTTAATCTTGAGTGCCTTCTTCACAGTTGGCTGAGGCGGAATAGCCTTCTTCCTCGAGAGATTGGAAGCTACCCCAGTCGTGCGATCGCCGCCGAGGCACCGGCCTGATCGACGAGCATCGGGTCGTCGTCGTCGCCGACGGCCGCCCCGGCCGCGTGCTGAGCCCTGGCCTTCTTCATCGATGGGGATGAGGAGCTCGTCGGGGATGAGATAGGGTTACTAGAGCGCTTCGCGTGAGTCATCAATTAGTAGAGAACTCGCATGGCGAGCGAGCTCGATTAGGGCTTTTGAGGATGAGGGCGGATTCGAGCGAGCGAGCGTGCGAGAGAGAAGGGAATGCTCGTGAACTTGGTGGGCTTTTACGGNGTAGTTTTATTTTTTTTTCTTTTTTCTTTTTCCTTTTTTAAAGGCTTGGGATCTTGGGTTTTTCGCACTGGGCGGGCTTGGGCTTGGGCTTGGGCCTGCAATAGCTGGGCGGCCGTCTTGGAAGATCCATTAAAGTTTAATAGCATTTGAGTAAAACTAGAGTAAGAATTTTATCAGAACACCTTAAAAGGGATAATATACATCATTTAAAGGCACTTAGATGATTGGTTTAAAAATTATAGATTTTATATTTATATTATAAATCACTCTACTTCTATAGAGGTGTTTTTGATAGAACCCCTGCGATTAAAAATAAGGCTACTTTTTTAAAAAACGCCCCTACCTTTGGATGATTAACGGAAAAGCACATATAACTTTCAATATATTAGAAAACCTCGATTATTAAGTTTAGGAGTTATCATAAAATCCTTTTAATTTTAAGATCTTTCCATGAAACCCTCCTAAACAGTGTTAACCATAATCTTCACATGTTGGGGAAATATTATGTAGGACGATATTTCTATGAGTGAAAATTGTGACTCACGCTTTTAGAGGGTTTCTTAAAAAAGTAATAAAGCTAAAGGAGGGTAACCCCTAAATTTAAGAGGTTTTTTATTAGTGCAAAATTAGAGGTTTTGTGATATTTAACCTAAAAATAATTTCATGGATAATTTGAAAAAAAAAATTATGGTTACATGTCTCTTCTTAAATAGAATAACAAAATAGACTCCTAATAAGACTAGAATTATAAATAAATAGAAAATATAAAATCCCACCCTAAAAAGACTTCGTATAATAGAAAACAAATTAGTCCAACGTGAATCAATAGTAAATTTGTTTCCTAATCTAAATAGACTCCAGCTTTATTACTATAAATAAGTTAAATATTAATTATTTTCAGATTTATACCAGAACTTGGTGATATGGATGTGTTTTTGCAAATCTATCAATATGGATGGCTTCGTCTTGTCAAGGTAGATAATTTTCATATATAATATGTCAAAATCCGTATTCCAGATTGGGGGATATTATTGTTTCTTCGCTAGCAAATCAATAATTCATTCGTATACATATTTGACTCATGAAGGTCTCATTTTTCCATTATTTTGCTCGTTATGCATCTTACGTCAGTCTCCCCTTGTTGAAAGAAGTTCGACCCCGATCTCATCTTTGTTTGAATAGCAGCTTCCTTGATAAACATTTTTCTTCTCCTGCATCGACCAACATCCGTCATATACTTACCAATGAATTTCTCCATTATTTCTTTTACCTCCTCAGCTAAGGGCTTCTTCCAAATCAAAATTTTGAATAGATTTTTCTCACATCATTTTAATGTGCCTCACAGCATCTCGATCTACATATGACTTTAAAAACTCCACCAAATTATTTCCTTGTTGATTTTTATATTCTTGTGCCTGGAATTCTATCTCAATCTTGTCAAAATCATTGACACTCTTTATTTTAAAAGAGAACAAATTTTTTAAACAGACCCATTCCAACTTTTTATTTTCAAAACCGACTCTTTTTTTTATTATTTACCAAAACCGACCCGATTTTATGATTAGCAGATTAATCACCTTCCTAAATAGTCGGGGTTGGCAACCCCGACTATTTAGGACGGTGTTAAACCCTAATTAGAAGCATTAAACCCTAAAAATTAATGTCCTAAATAGTCGGGGTTGCCAACCCCGACTATTTAGGAAGGTGATTAGTCTGCTAATCACAAAATCGGGTCGGTTTTGGTAAATAAAAAAAAAAGAGTCGGTTTTGAAAATAAAAAGTTGGAATGGGTCTGTTTAAAAAATTTGTTCTTTAAAAGAAGAATTTCTCTTGCACTCCATCTCGTTTCTTTTGTGCCCTCCACTAAGCAAGTTACACGAGTCATCAATCACATTGCTTTTAATTCTATCATTCTTCTTCATTGTAACAACATTAACAGATGTAATATCACTCACAATAGCTTTAGAAATTTCATGCATAATGTCCATCTTCACTAATATATTACCTTCAACATTAGGAATCTAATATCACAAGAGGGGCTTGCACCTTAGGGGGTTATTTTGGTTGGGACAAATTGGGGTCACGTGGAAAAATTGTTCCAATTGAACAATTTTATCTCTTTGGGATATTTTGAGTGAGGTGTAGGCTGTCTAAAAATCACAATGGATAGCTGAGTCTCCATCGAACACTGATGATGGAAGTTACAATCTGACGACTTCCAGAAGGCTACAATTCGAAGATTTTCACATGTCAAAGAGTTAAAGCAAAGATTACAAAACGACAGTCTTTAGCAATACTCTGACAGAAAGGATTACAAATCGACGATCTCTTTAAACCAAGACGTGAAAGTCCTCCCCACGTACCATCATCAAGACACTACACCGATTCAATCACCTAGGCCGCTTCAACAGCCATAAACACGAATGCAGCTTCTTATGTGAGATGATTGATCTTGATGGCTGTGACAACAACATGACTAATTAGCAACCATTAGAGGTGCTGATGAGCAGTGTAATGATATTCGACACACTCAGTGGAGATCATGACCTGCAGTTGATAGAGCGTTATTGAGATGCCTCAATTGTCACAAATGGCCTGAATAAGACCTTCTTTACTGGTCTTTGGTGTCATCCATATATAAAGACAGAGAAATCTAAATACTACAACAACCAACAGCTCGAACGCAGCTCCAATCGCTGCCAAGTACAGCTCGAACGCAGCTCCAATCGCTGCCAAGTACAGCTCGAACGCAGCTCCAATCGCTGCCAAGTACAGCTCGAACGCAGCTCCAATCGCTGCCAAGTACAGCTCGAACGCAGCTCCAATCGCTGCCAAGTACAGCTCGAACGCAGCTCCAATCGCTGCCAAGCACAGCTCGAACGCAGCTCCAATCGCTGCCAAGCACAGCTCGAACGCAGCTCCATCGCTGCCCAACGCAGCTTATCAATCGCTGCCCAACGCAGCTTATCAACCGCTGCCGATGCAACTCATCCATCACTGCCCAACGCAGCCCGTCAGTCGCTGCCAAACGCAGCTCAATCACCGCCAGAACGCAGGTCAAGGTTCTGACTCATTCAAACGTGATCGTAACAACTTCGAAGCTGTTCTTCACCCACGATTTGAGGAGTGGCTTTAGTGGGTTGTTACACCCGACTAATGGGGTAACTAAACCCCCATTTAGGCGCGGATTATGGGGGCAGTTACACCCCTAATCCCCCTATAAATAGCAACAAACTCAACAGAGTTAAGGATCGGATTTTTGATAATCAGATCAAGGGGTGGATTTTCGTGGAGAAGACCTTTCGATCAGATCTTCCAGAATCAGAAAAAGGAGGATTGACTCCTTACACAGTCTGGGAAATCAACAGACGGAGGAACTCTAAACCGTCGATATTTGGCTTATTAACCGAATTATTTTCGGTTCCAACAACTCTATCATTAGAGTTTGTTGCTTGTTCTGAATCACAAAACTCGTTAAGAGTTATCAACCAGACAAGACAGTTGTTCCAGTGAGTATAGATATTCGGATCGTCAACGAGAAGCAAACTCGACGCAAACAATCGAGGGAGGCATCTCACCGCTACCAAGAAGAACCCAGAATTAAACAAAGGAGAGAATCCCGATCATTCTCTTCTCTTTTGTAATCGAAAATCCAATTGTAACTGAGATTAAAGGAATACAAATCAATTTTTCTTTTATTTCTTTTACTGCAAATTTTTCCACAAACAAAAGATGGCGACTCCGCTGGGGACGAGCTTCTCTGACGAAGAGGTGGTGGCGCAATCCGACGTTCACCTCACTGGAACAACTGTAGAAACCTTGGTCGTGGAGTTTGACCAAGCCAAATACGAGGAGGCCCTCTCTTCCGGATCGCTTAGCCCTAAAGCTAGGCGAGGTGCTTGCAAGAGCTCTAAAGAGGTCTTAATTACTGTTGAGACGCCAAAGAAAGCCCTCTCTTTTGGCCAAAGCCTCAAGCTTGCTCTACAAGCCGAGGAGCCTACGCCTATGTCGACACATCGTGTACTTGGTTGTAAAAGGCCTATGACAGAGGAAAGCACAATCAACACCGATGACGCTGCTGTTAAGGCTTTGAAACAAGCCAAGAAAAACGCCGCTCGACGACGAAGAAGATCTATCCGACGAGCACACCTCCGAGAAAATCAATCCCAAGACCAACGCAAGGATTGCGTTTCCAAAGATCTGCACAAGCATTGCGTCCATACTCCAGAACGCACACTTCGAGGTAATGAATCCAATTACAAACCTCGGGTGATTCAACTTAAACGCGACCCTCAGTGGTGCGTTGTCCAATCAAAGCACAGCCCTGTTAAGGGAAAACAAGCACCTCATGAGTGCGTCCAAACAAAACAAGACCCTGAGGGGTCTGTTCCGTCAACTAAACGCAGGCCAAGGCCAAGTGTTTATAAATCAAAACGCAACCCTCGCACCTCGATTCCCGAATGCGATAGGGTCCATCAAGTTCAACAAGAACCAATTCCGCCCATCCAAGGACAGGAGGTTTCATCCCCGATGAAGAATTGTCCTCGGGTCTCTGATTTGCGAGAGTTACTCTCCAGAGAAAAACCAATGCAACGAGCAGCTCATTCATGTCATTGTGAGCGGCTCATTTCAACAGTCCTCTCCGAATGTCGTTGTTGTAGGCCTGAGTCTCGCAGGTCTGTATTCGACAGACTATCTGACGTCGCAAGACCTACCAAACGACGACGTCAAAAGAAGAAAGTTTCTGAAGCTGAATACCCTCAGGTTACCATCAACATGACCAGTAGAGGGAAAGCCCCATGTCCCAGTTCCGATGAATCAGAAAGAAGCCATTCCCCGACCGTTCGAGAAATTTGCGACGAGTTCGAAGGGGTATATCGACATACTCGGTCACGGACTGGAGCTATCCGCCCGGTTAATTACCAAAGGTTAGCCCAAGGGATTACGACAAGTGATGAACATTCGGCAATAGCTGAATCTCAATCTTCAAGCTCTGTTGGAGCACAAAAAGTTTCTGTTTACATGACGACGAATCCCGAGGACATAGCTAAAAGAGTGGATGAACATCATACCATGCTCCAGGCACAACAGGAGACACTTCTCCAATTGAAGGATATGTTCGTCCAATTTCTCGCTGAAAAAGGGCAAAAACCCGAGTCTTCCCGGAGGACTACGTCAAAAGGAAAGCAGAAGGTGCACGAACACTCAGATCGTGAGACTCACAACTTAGATTCTTCTTCTGACAATGAGAAGGAGATGGAAAAAGAACTGTATCCTCAGTCAACCAAAGTAGACGAGCTAGAAGCCCGCCTTAACGCAATGGCCAACAGGAGCGAGCTTCGCGAGGAAGGAGTGATACGACCCTACCCTGCAGAATGGGATACGGCTCCCTACCCACCAAAGTTTAAGGCTCCAACGCTACAACCTTTCGACGGTACAAGGTCACCAAATCAGCATATCTACTACTTCAAATCTCAAACAGGAGATGTGGTAGCCAATGATGCCATCCTGACGCGCTTGTTCATCGGTACTCTCAAAGGACTCAAGGAGTAGCCTGATGTTATGAAGCTGTCCTGGAATCTATCCAGAAGTGGTTAAAAGTGGGTGATTGGAAAG